GTTGGTTGGTTGGTTGGTTGGTTGGTTGGTAGGTAGGTAGGTAGGTAGGTAGGTAGGTAGGTAGGTAGGTAGGTAGGTAGGTAGGTAGGTAGGTGGGTAGGTAGGTAGGCAGGGAGGTAGGTAGGCAGGTAGGTCGGTAGCTAGGTAGGTAAGTAGGTAGGTGCGTAGGTGGGTAGGTAGGTAGGTAGGTAGGTAGGTAGGTAGGTAGGTAGGTCGGTCGGTCGGTAGGTAGGTAGGTAGGTAGGTCGGTAGGGAGGTAGGTAGGTAGGCAGGCAAGCAGGTAAGTAGGTAAGTAAATAAATATGTATGTATATATATATATATATGTATGCATGCATGCATGCATGCATGTATGTATGTATGTCTGTATGCCGCAGTTAGAGTAGCAGTAACAAGAGCAAGTATCACTATTATTATTATTATTATTAGTGGTAGTAGTTGTTGTTGTTGCGGTGTCATCACTGCACCATTGCATTCTCAGTTGCGCCACGATACCTTAGGAAACGCCACCAGTGATCCACACTGTTTCGATCTAACAAGACCTGCATTCGGCACGGCAAGTGATGCCGCGGCAGATCACAAGCACAGACGCATGGGGACCCGCAGTGGCTGCGAGAATCTTTGTGGATACTGATGTTACAGTTTGGCAGTGTGCAGATTTTTTGCAGTCTGGAGGGGCTGTGTGACTTCCCACATCTGGACGCTGCAGATATCCACAAGCATTTGTTGGCACAACAAGTAGCTGATGTTAGAGCCAGGCAAACTTGCAAGACTCTCTAAGCCTCTAACCTAAGCTTCTTGAGCTTGCATTTTGTAAACGGTAAACGGCACAGATTCGTCTGGCTACCAACCTCCCCAGTGCCTGCAAGGTGCAGGGCATCTGGGGAGAATCTCACTTGCTGCGGCAACGTGCAAAACACAAACCAGTACCGACGTGATTACACGACAGTACCGGGCTTAAAACCTAGCACTTCAAAATGATTGTATGTTCTTCTGGCATTGTACCCCTAGCTGGCTGGGCTCAGGATTTCAATCAAGACAGAGACGCCTTTTTCGGGGGTGGCATGTTTCCGAAGATTGATGCCCCCCAACCCCACCCCGCCAGGCGCAATCCGCTCAATTCCCGCCATGTGTGCCTTTCTCTGTAATGATGTAATCTCCGGCCGTGGGCACATCGTGTGACGGTTCTGAAGCAAGGAGCCGCAGCAACCGGACCCCAGGCAAAAGCTTGGACTGGCAGAACCTGTATGCTTTGAAGGGACCGAGCTACTGTTCAGGGAAGCACATTCCACGGTAAAGCGCTTATCTACTTATTGAGTGTATTCCGAAGGCCACAGGCCTTGTCCGCAACCACAACTATACATGTATACGGAGTTATTCGTCTACCTCGGGCCCCTTTCATCAGGCTACGCACTTCCGAGGAAAAGATCCGTGGAAGAGGACCGGCTGCTCACGATGGAATGATGTCGAGGAGGGCCGCAGCCTAAGCTCCAGAAGCTTAGTTTCTGGGATGCCCGAAGGCTCAATTTCGAAGTCATTGGATGGTTTAGGTGTGGCCCCTTCGGCGTTAGATCTAAATTGTTGTGGAACATTCGACCTTCCGCCAGAAAGAAGGGTGAGGCGGCCAACCTGACAACGCAGTGCCAACTGCAGAACATGACTTCAAACAACAAATCCACTGAGGCTTTGTGTGTTGTCCTAGCAAAGTGCACGCGTGCGATGCTTTAGACCCTGCCTGGTGTGGCAAGACACAAGCAGGCTGAACCCTCCAAGGTGCCAGGGTGTCGTAGTTGATGCAACTGGTCCACAAGTGTGACGAGTTTGTAGTCCACGGACCTTGATGGGAGTACAACGCACTGCATCTTCCGTGCAAGCCATGTCAGAACTGAGTGCATATACGTATGCTGGGCTGAAACGTACATGAAACTGCCTGCGACCCCGCTCCAAACGATCAAACCTTTTCGGCTTACCATAGCTCCATCTGCTTGACTGCTGCAATGCTTCACTTGTGCGACTTTCAACCTTACATCTGCGTTGCATTCATTAGTTCACATTTGCGACCACTCACCTTCCAGGAAATGAAGCTCTACATGTTCTGCGACTGCTTTCAATCTGTCAGGGCTTTTCGGTCCCGGACTCCCGAAAGGGGTTTGAAGCCAACACTCACCAACCCCCTTCTTCCCACCGGGGGCTTCATACAAAAGTCGGGACTCGTAGAAGGTTGTTGACACCGAGTTTCAAAGCGTTAACATCCTGCCGGGTATTTCAGTTCACCCTCCGAACTGAACACCTCAGGGTGGCCTCGGTGACAACAGGCGCCCTGTAGTCACTTAAACAATACATACAATACTGTCTTGGAGCCCGAGAGGCGTTTACGGCAGGCCTGGCTAAGGCAACCAGAGAAAAGACTGAGAGCTCATAAACAAAGGTAGAAAGCTTGCAGGCCCTCGTGTTGCTTTCCATTTCAAATGACTGAGAGCCCTAACATGACTATGGAAGATCAGACAGCCTGAAACCCTGAAACAACTCCACCATTCAGACTCCCCAACCCCGAACCCCACAGCTAAGCACTGCTGGACAGTGCGCCTCAAAAGTCGCAGAGTTTGTACGGAGGTTGCCGGCACATCGTGGAGGAAGAGATTGAGGAGACCATCGACAAACTCCTGCTGAACACGTCGGGCTCGAAGTTTCTTCGCAGGGAACCGGGGCCGGTGCTCCATGAAGAAAACGGAGTTTGCAAAGTTAAAAACTTTGGGCAGTCTGTGGTGAATGCCATAGGTTCTCGGTTCATATCAATCGCATGTCGGGGTTGGAGTATCGGCGGGTGCGCTTGTGTATGAGGCTCTGCTTCTATTAGGGTGTCTGGCAGGCACCATGTCCAATGGTGGATCGAGCAACAATGCTTCTCTGGGAGCCATGTGAATGCAACTGTTGAGCTCCCAGTAAGTCTGCTCCATGCAGCTTAGATTTCAGGGCTGCGCTAAAACACTACCACAGCTTCAATGGCCACTGAACAGGATGCCGGTTTCTTTCACGGCTTCGGGCGCCGGCTCATTCAAAATATCTTGCAGGCCTTCTACTTGCCGAGGAAAGGCCTGCGTGCTCTTTGTCTTAGCCAAGCTGCAGCTGGGTTGACGGAGGTGCGGGTTCGTGGTGGCTGTAGCAGCAGCAGGTGGAGCAGAAGCAGCGGGAAAGGACAGCAACAATCAAGACAGAGTGGGGAAGGTGCCGGAGTATTCCACACCGCGGCACTGTCAAACTTACTTTGCACTCTTGAGCAGACGGCGTCTATAGCCTTGTTAGATTTGTTCAGCACATGGCTGTGTGGATGAAGCCTCTACCAGTCTTCAGTACGGCATATGTGAGGAGAGTAGGAGAGCTCCATCAAAAGTCAAATAAACGTCACAGGGCCAGCCAACTTTGGCCTGCGAATCATGTATGACGAGCCTTGGCTGTGGCCTCTAGACACTCGGCCAATGAACATCACGCAGGGTCGCACAAAATCCCTTCCATTTCCCTCTACCAAACCGGCCCGGCAGGCGGCCTCACGCGACAACTCACCGCCGCCATCCACCTTAACAAAGTCTTCTGTAGAGAATAGTTGCCAGTTTAGGTAAGGCCTTTCAGCTTCTTTGCTTTCGGTAGTCTTTATCTGCTGGCTCCTGTGGTTCAGACAGTCCTTGATCCACCCGTGCAATCTTCCTGACCGAAGATAAAGTCTGACCCGAGCCCGAGAGTTTAGCCAACACATTCGAGGTTGATCTGCCTCGCTCGATTTGACAATCCTCTGATGGTGCAGGTTGTTAAGTGCTAAGTTGCCAACTGTTTGTGCGTGTGAGTCTTGAACATCATCTCAGGACTGAGGAGGGCACTCTGCAGATTATGATGAAAGAGTCGTCTGCAAAAGGTCTGCTAAAAAGGGCTGCTAGAGCTAACGAGACGCAGATTCACTTGGGCAACCTGAGAAACGATTGGATCCAAGTAGGCAATAGAACTGAGACCAGAAGTGGCAAGTGGCATCGAGCATCTCGAAGACGTCATGCATGGACGAGATGTTGGTTTTCGCTCGCAGCTCCTCGGCGACCATCTTGCTTCTGACAGTTGGACACGCAATCGGGAGACATAGAGCTGCCTGCCACAACGACACCGATGCTGGGAAAACACGCGCGAGAACCGCATGCTGACTTCCTGAATTGCTGGACGCAGCTACAGTACACATATAAAACACGCAGCCCAAACATTCAACGAATTCAACGACATCCAAACACATACCTCGGAGGAGGTACAACCTCTGCCTCGGCGTCCAAAACGAGGAGAGGACTGTCGCGAACGGTGAGTCAAAGTTCTCCCTTTCGTTCTTTCTTTCTGCCGGGCGTAGGGGTCAGCGGGGGACCCTCAGGCCATTGGCCCCCCCGACCACCCGTTGTGTTAATGAGTGGCCGGCTTTGAGACCCACTCTCTCTCTCTCTCTGTTACTCTTTCGCTCTCTCTCTCTCTCTCTCTCTCTCCCTCTCTCTTTTCGCCAAGGATCTTCCGGAATGATATCGATAGGAACGTGAGACATCTCCTCCATTGTCAGGGTACCAGAGCCTGCTGCATCGGGGACGAAGGTCTGCTTCAAGCTTTTAATGCATGTTGGTCAGAGATTCTGCCATCGAGGCATGCACGAGTAGTGTTGGCGCAGGGTCTTGGAAAAGTGCATGAACAATGAACAAAAAGTGCATTCTCGCCAAACGCAAGACCTTGCTTCGCGGATCCTTTGCCAAATCCATGCCCCTGCGCATGACATTTGGAAATGCGCAGAACTCTTGTGAATGAAGTTGCACCTGAGTCTCCTACAGAGGCAACCAATCAGTGCACATGCTGCTAAACCCCTGTACATCTCTTGCCCTCAAAACCTCACGGCCGAAAATACAAAATACAGATCCCCCTGCGCCGAACAGAAAAGCAGGCACCGTCTTTGTCAATCTCGCCGAAAATGGCGAGTAGCCTCAAGGCAGGGGTCTGCATGGCATGGATCTTCCGATGCTACCCACACTCTCTTGTAAGTCTTGTATAGCTTTGGATGGATTTTGGCGCGGTTTGGTGCATGAAAGCTACTATCTTGACTTCATGGCTTCACGCAGGCTTTGTCCCTCCCAAAGCACTGGCCGGCCTTGGCATCTGCTTCTGCAACTTCTCGCGGAGATCAAGCTTCTCCACCCTGAGTTTCAGAGTCTAACACAGGTGCTTCTCTGTCCCGGCCCTGTTGGCGATGGCGCGGTAGCGTGCGCCGATGATGAGGGGCATCAGGGCAAGTATGTTGGGTTCCTGTCGAACTCCAAGGTGCTCATCCCATTCCTGTTCTTGGCCTTCGCCATCGTTTCCTCCGCTATCGTTACCTCCTCTCCCTTGACAAAAGGCGACCGTCGAGTACACTCCTGGGCGCTTGAGAAGCGCTGTGTGTGTCCGAAGCGAGGGCGACAGCCCGTTTGCTAAGGTTAGTACAGCCTTCTTACGCCGCTCTGAAACTGAAAGCAAGCGATCGATATGAGGCCTAACGGCAGCAAACTATTCTGTCAAATCCGCTCAACGAAACACACGCCCAGCAGCTCTCTGTCCGCTGATGCGTGTGAGAGCGCTCCTTCCACCAGCACCGCGGTGACAAGGTTCCTCGCTGAGGCGTTTTGGATGTACTCCAGTTCCCAGAGCTGCGAGTTTCGGAGTTGAATGCTCAGGGTATGGCCAGGTAGGCAGATTGCAATCTCGAGTTGCTATGGAGTAGTCGTACTCATGGCCACTGCTGATGCAGCAGGTTGAGTCGAAGACTCGTTTAAAGTGAACCGATGGCAAGATTGCCGAGAGTCTCGAGGAAGTCATACGACGTGACATTGCTCAACAGTCAGGGAACATGTCCAGCCGAATGCTGTGTGAAACGTAAACATGTATGGCGCAGTACAACAGGTATCTTTATCGCAATTTGTGGCTCGATACCGATGTCGTATCTGTGGTCCGAGTCCGGCCATACGCCCTTCTGCGTGTGTACGGCAGCACCCACCTACCTACCTACCTACCTACCTACCTACCTACCTACCTACCTACCCACCCAGGACCGACCCACCTACCTACCTCCCGACATACCTCCTTACATACTCATCAAGCCACCTAGTCTTTGCGTTTCCGCATTCCTTCGAGTTTGTGGAATTTCAAGTGGCCTCCGGCAGTTAGGCCCATGCTAAGCAGATTCGACTGAGTAGATCAAGGACGGTCCGGCGGCAACACATCAGAACCAGGTATCAGAGTTCCAGACATTCACCATGCTACGTACAAGCCAAACGGAGAACCATGAAGCCAATCGAGGTGCATCAGTGCAACCGAGACGAAGAGCACGATGAAGAAAAAGTAACTCGGGCAGTGTCAAGGTTCACTGTCAAACGACTCGTGTTCTGACGTGTCCATGGTTTATGTGTCGGTGCAAGTGAAGCAAGTACTTCACAGCATGCTCATGCCACCTACGCAACCAGGGCTCTTCGCATCTGCACGGTCCTACGCTGAAGCTGACGAAAGCCGGGGCTGATCACAAAGACGAGACACAACGCAAGGCCCGGCTTCTGGGCAATGAGTGGCGAGTAGATTGGTGCAACGGAATCAAGGGTCACCTGAGTTCGAGTTCGGATGAGCAGTTGCGGCGATGCAGCAGTGCAGACTACACAACAATCTGCCGTGTCGGGCACGATCTTGTTTTTGCTGTCTGTCACGGGATCTTGGGAGCAATCCGTACTTGCTGCCTAAAGCATACCATTGCATCATCCTCGTCCTTATTATTATTAAATACCTAGCTGAAAGTGCCAAGTCTCGAATGAGGATAGCGTAAGGAGAGTGCTGAAAAGTGACCCGAAGTACCTCAGTCACCGGGGCGCAACGGCTGTAGAGTTAGGCTCGCGAGGCTTGTGAGCCAATGTTTGAAGGTGACGTACGACAAGTGCGAATTCACACAAGTGTAACAAACCGACTGTGCGGATCCACTCAACCACATGGAGGGAAGGGCGCAGGCAGCCTGCCACAAAATCAACCATGGTGCTGGCTCACGATTCCTGACGTCTCGTCCGCCTGGCTTAAAGTGCTGTCCTTGCACACCAAATGACTTCTTCATACATGGAGCTAAGAGCTGCTGCCAGTAAGCCTCGTTCCTTCACCACGCACCAAACCCCAAAAGCCCACCCTCCGAAGACGCACACCGAGACCAGAATCCGATGCATGTTTTGTTACGGCTAGACGGGCCTTTCAACAGCCATCTAAACACGAAGCTTTACGACATGCTGTCCTTGGTGATGACTTCAATGCCCAAGCAGGCAGCAATGTAAAGGGTGAGAATCACCAGCACCTCTCGAACATATGAGATACATCTTTGAACATAACTTGCATTCTGGGCAGGACTTTTGGAGAGTCCCACGAACGCTTCATAAACGGAGTCATAAACCACGGCATTAGGGCTGTATTGCGGTGTTGCTCCAAAGGACCTGTTGCAATCGCTTCTAGCTTGCATTCTCGGAGCAGGTGCATTGAGGAAAGGAGGTGTGCCACCAGACCTAGCGACAGGACGTCTCACAAAGCAGGTGTGACAAAGAAGATACATGACAGTCGTTGCAACCCGTTTTTTCTCTGAAGGTCTTCGAATACAGCCCTATTGCACTGACTATAGTACCCTAAACCCTAAACCCTGAAGCGATATGGTACAGCTCGCATGAGAGCATCTCAGGCGCCAAAGTCGACAGCATAGCATTTGCGGATGTCAGCAGGCCACTCACCAGGCGCCAAACTGTTCGAAACCTCGGTCTCTGCTGTGTGTCCCGTTGTGTCCTAGAGTCCTGCCCATGTGGGATTCCGGGAAAGCTAGAGGAGCTTGAATTAAAAGTCTTTACAGTGACGAGCCTGCCACTTCGGGCTCGATTTTAGGTTTCTGCTACAAACTGAGATTCGACATGGGAGATACTGGAGATTGAGGCAGCCCGACTTGTCGAGAAAACTGTGCACGGTCGCAGGGAGATATCGGCCGAGCGTTTCTTTGCTTTGCGCCGCTGGGCGCAGATATATATATATATATATATGTAAATATAAATATATATATATATATGTAAATATATATATATATAGAGAGAGAGATAGATGCCGGAGTGCATTTCGTGGAAATTACATGTCATATGCTACCAACATCGAAGGGATGATTGCTTCGGATACTAAATTTGACGGTCCTAATTGCCACTTCCACCGCCCGCCTGCTGTGTTCACAAAGCACTCAAGCCCCCGCTCCCGCCCACTTGTGTAGGTCGGCAAGGTGTAAATAGTCCGAGAACAGGCGATAACCACCCTCCAATTCCAATCACGGTTCGAACAACCGAACGCAAACGTAGACAGACCCAAACTCCTTCTCCAGAACGCAGAAATGCAAAGCCCGAAGTCTGCAACTGATGCGACACGTGAAATCACTCTCCCCGTTAGGCTGTTTGCCAGAGCTAGGCTTTGCATCATTAATTATTTCTCACATGGCAAAACTGATACAGCTAGGATCAGTAGCATTGCAGAAGCAAGGTTCAACAAGATCCGACTTGCTCCAGCCCTAGTCGCCGGTCTCCTGTCATGAAGCGCGCCAATCATGCACTCATATGTTCCTTCCTGGTGACTGCTTCAGCAATCGCAGTGCCCGAATCAGCCGCAGCAGTCGGAACGTACGAACTACCATGAAAGTCTGCATCTCCTGAAGGCTGAAGGCGGCCGTGAGCTCAAGGAAGCTTTGGGTCATGGATGGTACTTGGAATCCGTTGATCTTCTGTGTATACCGGGGCGTCCTAAGCTCCAAGCACTTCCGACAAACCCCGTCCACGAAAACTCAAGAAGAAGACATCCGGGAATGTGTGGTTGTTTGAAGGAGCTCCTGCACTTCCACGCCCGTTGAGCTTGTGAAAAGACTGACGATGCCGATGGTAATCAGGATCATGTCCAGAATGCACCTCGGTCTGATCGAAGTCGGGGGACATGAGGGTGGGAGATAAATGAAGAGAAAACGAGCAGCAATGGAGCCGCGCGAACACTCAACCTGATCACCTCAATACACGTGCAATCATAGAACCAGGGAAGTCAGCCAAGGCACCACGGATCGCACAAGCACTTCTTACCGAAAGCAAGAAATCGAACCGTTAACTCCGCGAGGTAGATCATCACCTGTGCCGTCAGTGATCTTTTGGGGCCCAGCAACAGGAGGAGAGGCACTTATAATCCTACAGTCAAGAACCCAGACTCAGCCGTAATCATGCTGTCATCCTAAGAAGTCTATGAGTTCATGGCTTGAGTCGTATACTCCCGGTATGCAAAACAGCGGTACCGGTAAAGCCGGCTACCGAAACCGGGCTCTGACAACATATGTTCGGTTCAGTACCACGGGCTGGAGCTTCCACGAACTTCTCCGACAACAGGTTCCAACGACGTACTTGGCGCCTTTCATGGACGACTCGACGTTTGCAGCATGCTGGGATTTCGCCGACTGCCGAGGCACGAATGCAAAGTCGATCCAGGACATCCAAGGAGACACGTGGGTCAGCGACGACTGGATTTCATACCCGACCTGGCGTAGCGGCACATCAGGTACGTGCTGGCCGGCTGACGTATCATTCATCAGGTCTGGAAGGTTTGTTGTGACATCAATGCAATCAAAGCTTGAGGCTTCCCCGTATTTGCATGACTTTCGATCGCAGCTGAGGCTTTCTACAGCCAGCGATAGGCTCGCGGCTCGCTTGAGTACCTTATGCTTGGAAATGACATCGCCTGGATTGTGACCTGCAGCAAATCGGTTGCAGTGGTTCCGTAATTCTCAGCTCGACTGCAATGCTGCGGGCACATGCGGGCCCTGCTTCCGCAAGACCGAGCAATGCCTACACAAGTGTAGATGCGTGTTGGTTGAAATTGGTTGGACCGCAAACCGGATGAACCAGCAGAACTGCGGCCGAAAGACACCGGCAACCGCTAATGTAATGAACCAGTCTGAGCCGAGCTACATGCAGCAATGCAGCACCAAAACGATTTGAGACGGTCCCATCGCAAATCTTGGCGGGGCACAGCAATGGCATTGATCACGATGACCAAGCCCATCAAATATTCGAACCATTTCCGAGAGACGAGGAGGAAGCAGCTGTAGCCTTCACAGGATGCAACAGCAGTTCCGACCCTACCCCATGTCTTCAACCAAGGTAGCGTGCTCTGCTGGAAACACTTAGATTCGGCCATACCGCGACGACAGTCGGAAGTAGATAAAATATGGGGAAACCCCAAACTACTGACAAAGGTGTAGCGACAGAACAACTTGGGAATATCAAACAACCTGCGCAATGTCTGACCTGTCTCCGATGCTGCAGCGGATGGTCTTCGATTTCGCCTTTGCGAAACGATGGCCGCCGTCGAATGTATCCGCCGCAACGTCTTTCCGGTGCCAGTTGGTTCGCACAAACTGTAAGCTTGCATCGGAATGTCAGGCCGGCAACAGTAAGCTGGAATAACGACGCGGAGTCGCTTTACTGGCGAGTCGGTATTCGCGAGAGCCTCTGTCCGTTGTGTGCTGCTCTGTGAGTGCGCGCGGGCGTGTTTGCTTATCACAGTCAGTATTATGCTCCAATAGCCACTGGCCCCATCAGCAGTGACCGCCTGTCTGTTTCGATGATTTTTTCAGCCGTTGTTTACGTCTGTTATCTCGCTTGCCGCCTCATTCTTGCCTGCATCCGCGCGGCACGCTTGTTGCCAAATTCACGAAACCGCCATATTTCGCCATCTGTCTAATTGTAATCTGAACAGCCGTTAACTAATGTATTCCTGTAGTGCCAATGAATGAGCAGCTCCCGGGCACCACTATGATCTACTGCAATGCTTTGTTCTTTGGGTACGATATTTCGTACATTCTGATGGTACTATTGCTACTGTCCAATAACAACGCGATGCAGGAGTGATGCGAACTTGAAGCCTCTTCAATTTTCCAGGTAACTACCTAATGACCTAGCTGATCAAGTAACCACCACTCAGCTTTAGGTTCTCCATTTCATACATGGATACATGAGGGGGTACATGAATGAATATATATATATATATACACATATCTCTCTCTACCTATGTATATATATATAGAGAGAGAGATGCATTGAGATATGTACACCCTACACCCTGTTTGTGTTCATTACATATATATATATATATCAGGTATCTGTATAGACAAGCAGAGATACGTGAACATATACATACATATATACGTACATACGTACATGCATACATATATACATACATACATACATACATACATACATACATACATACATACGTACGTACATACATACATACATACAAGCATACATACATACATACATACATACATACATACATACATACATACACAACATTACATTACATAACATTACGTTACATAACATGACATAGCATAACATGTACGTGCATTAACTTCATCTAGCCGCTTCTCTGTCGCTACTTGTGTATCTACAAGGTGTGACGAATGTGGCGCTGCCGCATGGCTGCATTGACCACCAAAATGGAGAAGAGCGGCGGAGCTGTGTCCAGGACTCGCAGCGGCAGCCATGCTGCTCGTAGAAGTCGTGTTGAACCTTTGACAGCAACGCGAACATCTCTACATTCCACCAAAGCGCTTGTCTATCTGCCTACTTGTGTCTACTTCGTTATCGGGCCAGGTGACTTCGAGTCATGAACTTGCACATGCAATGGAAACACGATGTATGGCGATTGCAACAGTTGACTCAAACATGCAAGTGCGGCAAATTGTCGAAGCGAAGTCGTCGGCACTTCGAGCTTTAAGCGATGCTGCCCGTCCGCGTATGTGCATCGATACTGGAGCTACTTTCTACGGAGAAGCCCTCCGGAGTCGGATATACTGCAACCACGAGGTCCACACAAATCTCCAACAGCAGCACTTCCGGCCTAATTTGTCCTGCCCTCTTTAAGATCTGATCCCGGACAAAATCCGTAGTCAGGATCATGGCACGACAGAGTCGTCGCGCACCATCGACTGAATCAAGACCTTTCCTTGTCAGCAAGTTTGGCACTCCAAGGCTGCATGTTGCTACACAGGAGACTGACTAACTGTCAACATGTCATCAAGAATGGAATGCAACTTTGGCTTGTTGGAGATCGTCGCGGAGATGTGTTGTGATCGTCGTCACCTCTTTGCTAGAAAGGTCTCCCAGTCCCGGTTCGACCAACCATGTTCAGCGTCAAGCTGACGCGCCTTGTGGTGCTTCGGAATTGGTCTGCCCTTGATCTTCCTGCCGATGAGCCCGTGCATCGTGAAAGTTACCGCCGTTCCAAGAGCAACGACTACCAGGAAAACCTTGCATACTTGCAAAAAGATGCTACTTGCCATCAAGCACACGAAAAAAGCTTACTAAGTTTCCAAGCATGTAGAAGTAGTTTCTCATCTGTGTTTTATACAATGACACAGCCAAGAGTCACACGCACTTCTAGGCATGGGGACATCAACGCTGGCATTCTGAGAAACCTTTCCACCCTGAACTAACCACCTGACGCAGGGCAGGCAAGAGTCGCCAAATGGATCCCTTCATATCCAGTGAAGTGTAGCCTTGGCGTGACAGGCGTAACATTCGGAGATGTTCCATGCTGACAAACATTGATGGTCCATCGAAAGGATCGTAAGATGGTCCGAGTCTCCGTGTACGTATTTCTGCATATGTTGATGTCTACGAAGGCATGCGACAACCGAACAGAAATCCTGTAACCAATCATGGATATCTCTATATACATACATATATATATATATACAGACATATATATACACACCATTGAGTATACATGTATATATATATATATATATATATATACACATACATGTTTGTATATATGTGTTACATATCAAGTAAGTGTGACCCATCCATGCTTGAGGCTAACCATCTATTAAAGAACCCTTCCAGCCAGAGCAAGATCACACAAGCCCCCTGCTTCAGAAGCAAAACCGACGACCTGAACGAGCCACAAGCCGTGATCCTCAACAGCGGGAAGTCAAATCCAAAACAGCAGTACACCGCAATAACAGAGCAAAGGCACCAGCTTGTGACATGATGCTGGGGCGATGCTCCGATGGGACGAAGCGTTGGTCAGCATTGGAGCTGATGCCTCAAGCTTGGGGCTTTACGGCCTTACCACCTGAGCTTCTGAATTGGGGCTGCGACGTCACAAGATGGACTGACTCTGCTCATGTCGGGAATCCGTATGGGTGATCTTGATAACGAAAAAGCATCTGAGCAAGCCTGGGGTCAGACTGCGACTTTTAGATACAGTCAGGGAGCTAGTGGCTCAGTAGTGCTGGCTTTGCTGGCGATTGTGATGACGGTGGTGAACTTTCATGGTGTGGCTGTTGTCGGCGCTCTGATTTTTTGCCTTGGTACCTATTAACATGAACATGGTCGCTGTCAGTCGTGGATGTTGCTACTGCTGCTGTGTGACAGGCTGCCTGTCAGTGCGGCGACAGGGCACAGTGCAGCCCGGGTGCCAGAAATCTGTTTTCTCGGCCGGTTCCAGAAAGGTGGGTCATCCTTGATGCACCTGGGCTTGTCTCGAACGAGAACTTTGGGATTTGATATTCAAGAAGGGGTCCGGGGGGTAAGGGACGCTCCATTCAGGGTTCCCAGGATGCCTTCGTTGTTGCTCCTCAGATCTTCAAGCGTGGGGAGCGCTGTGCTCAGAAGTTCAGATTGCCATCTTGTTATCCTAAATAGCTCTACAGCCAACAGGGCACACTGGGGAGCAAAAATTCAGGCTAGCGGCTAGATTCTGCCAACCTAATCGGCGCATGCTGTACTGTTGGGGGCTGCATTCCCGGATTGTTTAGCAAGAATTGGCTTGGGATATGCATCGGACCAACACGAAGCGCCATCTTATTACTCGAACTGCTCCGGCTCCAGAGCTGAATCATACTGAACACAACCGCGCAAGCGAACAAAAACGTAGAACAAAAGAGAGATAGGCCCACAGGGACCTATCGAATGCCTTCGGCTACGAAGGAACGCCTCGGAGTCGCAGTATGTGCCACGATTAGCTCGGTGAAACGCCGTGAAGTTCATTTCATTCAACGGTCAGCCATGCATTCACACATCCACCGGTAGACCTGAAAAATTGCTTCCACTTGGAGGACCTCCCAGCAACGAGGGCTCCACTGTTGCAGGAACTGCGGGTCCGGGATTGCAATTCGGGCTTGAGGGGTCTCGGGATCGAGGCCAGAACTCAATCCCATGCAAGAGCATGTGAAAGACAGGTTCGGCTGCGTCACTTTCTGTTGTCAGGCTCCATGATGGCTACGGGCTCTGGAAGTGACCTGAGAAACAGTGCGAATCCAAGGGCTGCACGTCTGCCGTGGCTTGTATAGGACCCTTCGGGCTGCGTGAGAAACCGTAAGTATCCAGTATAGGCAGCACAACCTGTGAGCTAACATGATGCCAGGTCTGCGGCCTGCAAACCTAAAACAACTGGCTCAAGGTAAATATGCCGAAGTTTGGGGGAGGGGGAGGGGGGGAGGATACTACAGTGACCTACGAATACGTAGAGAGAGAGAGAGAATGCGCGTGCGTGTGCGTTCGTCATGCATATGTCAACTGAGAGAGTGAATGCCAAGCAACGAGCTTGTGATGATCACGACTGTGGTTGGTTGTCTTGGCATTTACGACTGTTTGCAAGCTATGTGTTTTGTTCACGCAGTCATGCAACTGCCGTTGCTGTTGCATGTCTTCGTCTTGTTAGCACAGTCTGCGTTGCTGCATGCGATGCTGTGTAGAATATGCGGGTTGCTGGGGGGTCCCAGGTGCAAGTTCCAGGCCAGAAAGTGCAATCCTATGATCTACTACTGCATGCGACCGGAGCTTTCTCAATCTACGGCCTGTCGCTACACTTCTCGCGCACATCAAATCCGAGTCGACACCAAGAAGCTTCTCATTTCCGATTTCCAACATCTCAAGATGCTGAAGCTGGAGAAGATGGAGGTGCTTCACGATTCAAACATGAGACCCCATGACAACCTCACCGGGCGACATGTTGTGCTCCGTCGCTCCCTTCGCTGCGCTCTCTGAGGGGCCGAACCTGCTACACTGAGTTGGGCCTATAGGGATACACGGAATTGTAGTCAAAACGCCATGTCGAAGTCGTACCGTCCGAAACAACGAACGTGTAGGCGTCTACTATAGCAATTTGAGCCATCAAAACCCTGCATAAAGAAACACAATCAGTCTTTCGCTCCTCCTCCTCCTCCTCCTACGGTCCTACGGTTAACTTCTGGGTTCAAGCTGGCGACGTTTGGATTCAATATGGCAGTTGGCATGTACAACTTAGGCAGGCTTGGGCAGGTTCTGATTTCAGACCATCGCGGCCAAACCATGCTAGCCGAGCTCACTAAACTAATTGCCACAAATCCTTGTGTGACCCTTTTGCTTTGAAGCTCCAGAGCAATGATGGACACTGGATGTAAAATTTGGCACCATGGAACCATGGAAGCCAAGCTCAAGCAGCAATCTCCAAGCCTGCGCTTAGTCACGGGGAGGACCCGGTAGAAAGGTGAAAGCTCGAAGCAACCTATTGGCCTTTCGGAGGCTTTCTTTCATAGGCTGATAGTTGAGTGTGCCGTTTTGACCTTGGCAGTCCGAGAGTCGACATCCGTAAAAGCTACCACCCGAAGCCTGCAAGGCCCAATGCAAGCCAGGCGCGTCTCCGCACTTCGCAATAGGGTCTCGAAGCTCTCTAGGCACATGATCCTTATGTGTCAGCTCTGCTGCCCCAAAATCCCGATCTGCCACCACGTGCCAACTAAGCATGTGGCAGAAGGTTCACGAGACTAGGGCGGCGCTTGCTGGACTACATGCTGGAAGAAACTGGGTTTGCAACTCTTGGGCAGTTTGTGCCTTAAATCTCCCCGAAGACATGAGGAAGGACACAAACATGCTGACATTTAGCACCTTCGTCAGCGAAATTCGAAGGGTTCGAAGTCATCTCGACCGAAAACTGTTCGTATCCTGGGGCAAAGTCTTCCACTACCAACTAGCACTGCGAACGACGAAATGAATGGGCAGGGCACAGCAACACAACCACACGCATGGACTTCTTCCGATGCCTACGTGCCTGACAGCGTCCTGGCACACAAACATGAATGGAGAAGGCGCAACAGGCTTTGCAAAAACATCCAGCCAATCCAGCATCAAACGATAAATCCGACAAGAAGCGTGTGATAGAAGTCTGGACACTTCGGGTGGAGGCTCATTGTGAAAGTGCCCAACACCCCTACTGTGAAAGGAGAAAAGCACTGTTGAGACCTGTTGAGGCCAAAGCTGCTGCTGCTGGTGAAGCTCTCGCAGAGACTGCTGCCAGTGCGTCCATGCCTGATTCGGTCCCGGCTCATCTTCTGAAATGCCTCAGTCTCTGCACCGCTGAGGTTACCTCGAGACGAGTCTGATGTCTGAGTCTGCACACATGATGAGATCCGTCTCCGACTTAAGATGCTCGGGTCGAACGCGGCTGCTTCAGAGGCTTCGACATGCTTCGACGGTACGAGGAGTGGCAAGCACGTTTTAGTCTGAACCTAACATCCAAAGGTCCTCGAGCTAGCAACGTCTACCATTTTCAATTCCGGACAGGCCCTCTGGCTGCTGCTCATGCCGGCTTCCTTCTACGACCCAAGCCCCCCAACCTATCTTCACGGCGCCACGAAGACGGAGCAAGCACAACCAAAAGCTGAGGAACGTGGTAGGGTGGGGCGCCGATGCTGCCCCCCGCTGGGAATCGGCATGACAATTGCAGCGCTCTAAAAAGCTATCAGGCTGGGGGAGCTTGAGCTCTGTTCCTTTGGGGATCGGAGGTTTATGAAGAAACTTCGGGAATGTCATCGGCTAAGGCATACGATGATTTTGGCCAGCTTTTGAGGCGTGACAAGGCTGAACTCGGCCTGTAGAGTGGAGGTCATGTAGCAGTTATGTCACACAGATCTCTTGCTAAACTGCTGACTTGCTACTGGCATCTGCGCAACAAGCTTGAGCCCAGGCAGCGCTGCTTTGTTCTCACCACCCGACCATACATCGATCATCTATCTGTCTATCTTTGTCGCCACCTATCTACTTGTACCTCACGTCCTATCTTCCTATGTATGATCTACCTACTTAGCTTTCTATCTACCTATCTATCTATCTATCTATCTGTCTATCTGTCTATCTGTCTATCTGTCTATCTATCCATCCATCTACCTATCTATCTAACTATGCACTTATCTATCTATCTATCTGTCTATCTATCTGTCTATCTATCTGTCTATCTATCTATTTACCTATCTATCTATCTATCTATCTATCTATCTATCTATCTAGCCATCTAACACATAAGTGCCTGTCTAGCTGTTTAGATACCTATCCATCTCTATATCATTCTACCTATACTATCTGTCTATCTATCTATCTATCTATCTATCTATCTGTCTGTCTATCTCTATCTATCTATCTATCTATCTATCTACCTATCCATCTGCATATCTATCTATCTATCTATCTGTCTATCCAACTCATAAGTGTCTATTTAGTTGTTGAGATATCTATCCATCTCTCTATCATTCTATCTATACTATCTATCTGAATCTATCTGTCTATCTATCTATCTATCTGTCTATCTGTCTATCTAGCTTACATATCTATCCACCTATGTTTGTATCTAGTCTACCCTATGTGGTCTAGTCTAGTCTGGGTCTGGTCTGGTCTAGTCCAGTCTAGCCCAATCTAAACTACCTATCTACCTATCTATCCATCCATCTATCTCGGTCGAGCAGCCGGCAGGCTAGCAACGTAACAGCCACAAGCGCACAAAAGCAAAACCAACCAAAATGTGGACCCACAAATCTTGAAGACTTGACTTAAAGCACCACAAGTCGCGATCCTGTACCCCATCCCAGAGGCTTGAACAGCCCAGAATCGGCCACGACGATTGAGGCAGCGGATTCCCGCCGAGAGCTCGTCGCATAGCACCGCACACATGCCATGCAAAGCTGGTGTTAACGGTCAAAGCTCGATCTGTGAAAGACGGTCGGTAACTCAGTGGTCAAGACCTCAGGGTCTTGGCTTGTGTGGAGACGGGTTAATGTTTGGTGTCCACTTGCCCGTTCGGGCCTAGTAAAAGACACGGCGATTGCACGTTGCAGGGTTCAATCGCCAAAGAGCCTAGCCGCCGTGTCTGGAATGCAATCATAACATGTGTTCCAAATGCAGCGACTTCGCACAAGACTAATCTCGAAAAGGTAATCTTGCATCTCGAAAAGGTAATCTTGCACCCCCTAACCCAGATTCTACACCTGACTCAGACGCACATGTCTGAAGCGCTTGAAGACCATGTGTACCCACAAGCATCAAGAAAGTGCTTCCCCCCCAAAGCCGAAATTACGACTTTGCACACTATGTGGTTGGTGCATGTTGTTCCACGCTGACTTTTGCCTGCACGCATAAGTACGTAAGTACGACATCCATACATAAGTACTTGTGTGTATGTCAACACACATACATCAAAACACATATTTATACGCATAATGTATACATAATGCATCCACATATGCTAGCATACATACATGCATACATTAAACACATTCGCTGCAGGACTTGGTTACACTATGTTACATACACACATGTTGCATACATGCATGCATGCATGCTGGTTACATTCGCCACATTACATTTACATTACAACCATGCATCACATTACATTGCATCGCATTACACTGCATTGCCTTGCATTGCATTACGCTACATTACATTGCACTACATTGCATTGCATCACATTTCACTATCACACATACAGCGCATACCCAATCACATCTATGCAGGCGTGCATACATACATTCGCACATACACACACACACACACACGCACATACAGACATATACACATACATACATACCTACCTACCTTCCTACCTCCCTGCCTGCATGCATGCATACATGCATACATACATACACACACACACACATGTACGTACATACTTACGTACATACATACATCCATGAACACATACATACAACTACATGCATACATGCATATATACACATATATGTACATACATATATAGATATACACATACATACATACATACATACATACATACATGCATACATGCATACATGCATACATGCATACATGCATACATACATACATACATACATGCGTACACACACATACATGCATACATACGTATATGCACACCTATTCTGATGCATGCATGCATACATACATGTATACGTGCATGCATGTTTGTGTACATACATACACTTACACAAGCACACAGTCACACATACATAAAGGTATGTATAAGTAATTATGTAAACAAAAACTATGAAACTATACATGCACGCACACACATACCTATTTGATACGTTATATAAGTGTTTGTATAATGACTGGTTTGAACTTGAACTTAACACAATGACATGAGCTCTACTCTACTCGTCGCGGGAGTTCGAATCATCAACCTGAAGCACAGACTCCGGTGCAAATACCTTGTGACCGATGAAAGCCCAAGCACTAGACCTGCTACAGCCCTCAGGCGAACGCACGAAGTGGAGCTCTCCAGTGAGGTGTCGATCCTGCTGATTCGCGAACGAGAATACAAATAACTACCAGCTGAACTCCCGAAAGTACTTCGGCTTTTGGAGTCGGTATGCTGCGGATACATACCGTCATGGCAGGTGAGGAGGGCGGTGGGGATAAGGTGAGCATCTTGTTTGCGATGCTGGGAGAGAGAGAGAGAGAGAGAGAGAGAGAGAGAGTGAGAGAGGGAGAGAGAGAGCGCGAGACACGGATGGTGAGTGGGGGAGAAGGAGCGAGTGAGTGGGTTGGGAGCGAGCGAGGAAGTGAATGGGTCAATGTGCATGTCATGGGTGTTTGACTGTTCCTGAGGCTGTTGCATGGTCCAAAGCCATGAAGACTGCAACATCGAAAGTACATGAGTGACCAAAATCCTGCTGGGCACCAGGACCATCAAACAGCTCGGCTGCCATCAAAACGATGCAGCTTTGCAACTTCAGATCGGAAAGCGTTGAATGGGCTTGGAAGCATATGCCTAGTTCTTCAGCTAATTCAAACCGCCTTCGTCCCCTCAATGGCCAGACTGCATCACTATGAGTACTTGGACCGCTCTTCCTCGTTTGCGACTAATGCCAAACGGGCCTTGAGACCTTCGGTTCCGGTGGCATGCGCTGGACAAATTGCATGGCCAACCAAGCTGTCAAAAGCAATACACCGAGAACACAGCATGCTGGGCAGCACAGGGTGTGCAGTAAGTCCGGACAAAGAGTTCCTAAGTGTTAAGACCTGGCCTGAATGATTGGTTTGTCCAAACTGCTTTCCCACTTGTGTGACAGGGGTTAGCACCTCATGTGCTGATACTGACTCGGGCGGATACACGAAGCTACAAACGACAACGGTGGCAGAAGTGCAGCAGTACTGCGGCTCACTACCACAGGAAGTGGGCAGCTAGCAAAAACCTGAGTACCGCAGCTAGCCTGGCGAACCCCGTTGCTCAACACCGACCGCCGCAAACCTACGACATTCAGCACTTGAAGCCGGAATCGTCGGATGTTGAACGTGAGAAACCAGCAACGAGAGTTCTCCGTACTCAATCAGGATATCTTCAGCCCGAATCTCACGACCTTATGCAAGAATCCTCGTAGAGCTTCTGGAGTAGCTTCGGGACCTCTGTCACGGCTCTTCGTAACTCGTGACAGCTCCCGTTTGCTTGTTTCCACATGCTTCTTCTACCTAGCTGAACTCGCTTAGTTTCATGTCAGTATAAGATAAGACACAGGACTGCAGCGGATGATAGCCGCTATAATCCGCATGTATGTTTTGATAGAGCGATATTTATACATATAGACACCAAAGGGTCAGGCTCCCCCTGCCTGCAACTTACGTCCAAGTGTGTCTGATTATGTATTTCCTCCTCCTGAACTGTCAAGTGTTTGGAAGCATTGGGTTCTCACACGTTTTACCAAGCAAGGGAACACCTGCGAAGCCAGGAACCAGTGTATTTCATTGTTTATACCAAAAAGTCCATGGTGTCTGCATGGATTTCCTTAGTTGGTAGACCTCAGCATTGTAGTGACAACCGGGGCGATATCAACGATCATTCATGCCCCGCAAAGAACATCCAAGCATCTTTGATCCTTGATCTTTGGTCCCGCCTGAAAGTTTGAGTATAAAATGGTGTTTATACTCAAGCTTGGGTAAGGATGTGCCCCAGAAAAGCTTGTCCAAGCACTATGGATCTTTCATCCCGACTAGATTCAGCACGACCCCAGTATCTAACTCAAACTCAGGCGGGATCAGCTGAACAAGCCAACTGTTCTGCGGTTTCTATTCAGCCTCATAATTTCGAGGAGTTGCCCGGCGTTTCTCTGATGAGTTCGTAGGTGACGTCTACGGTTGTCCCATTTTCTTGCTACATGTATCCTCCTGTTTGTTAGCTGAGCCTGCCTATTGTATCTTATGCGTCTCCCAGTTGCTCCCATTTTTCGTGTTTATTGGGGAAATCAAGAACATACCATGAACACCTTTATGCTTCCATCGTTCCCTGTGCTTTGAGAGTTGTTCCTAGGCTTTCCCTTCAGTTTCTATGACTTTTCTGTTTGTTTATAGGGCTGCTCTGAACTGTAACTAAAGCCACCACACAACACCTTTGTCGATTACCTGCGGCAGCTGCATGTGACTATCAAGCATGGACCCAAGGATTCAGGCAGGAACAGGACTCTACCACCCTGAAGGTTCCGCGTGAGGGCATGGCATCAGAGGCAACTGCCCGGCATCGAAAGCCTGGCTTCAATCCAAGAGCTTCGTACCGCAAGCGTGTACGAACTACGCAGAGCAAGCTTCCAATCAGCTTTCATGTTATAGATCTGTGGTACAGTCGTTGGTGCCAGTTGGCTTCAACTTCGGATATTTCATCAATAAAGTGTCAGCAAGCTTGAAAAAACAACGGTGTGTGTGTGTGTGTTTGTTTTGCGTCAATCCAACTACGCTTGCACATTGCCCAAGTCAGGGTCGCTGAACTCGCGATCTGCTTCAGTGCTGACACAACAGACGGGTCGAGTCAAGCAGAACCATGTACACCAACTCCTAATTTCTGCACCCCAGCTAGTGAATCTAGTGGCCTGTTTCGCTCTCCTCCTCTTCGTCGCCGGCGTCAGCACCATCGCTGTTGACTGTGCAAGAGACCCAGTGACACACAGCACAGCAGCACAAAGAGGTCGGAGGAGAGGAGCATAGAAATGGAGAGTCCAAGAACGCGGGTCTGAGGCATCTATTTCCTGTCACCATATTAAGAAGACAGGCCAGACTTGAGAGACCCCGAGTGGCTGTAAACAGCGACTCGGAAGCCAGTAGTCTACAGTAGGATGCTGCAAGCAAGTGCATGCATAGAATCTTCAGAGACATGTCACTATCATCAGACAACTTCGACAGTTGCTCATGGTTTTGATGTAGCTAAATAATTGTGCAAGTGTCGCTGGGCAAGCACCTGTAAATTCTCAGCTTGGTGTTGCCACATCGCCAAACGGTGTGGCATGAAGCATCATCAAGCTTTTCTACCTGCAGGTCCAGTACTGCAGGGTCCATACAAAAGCATCTCACCTAAAACACTGCCCGCAGGTGGACATCAAGCATCACCTGCGTGTCCCGGTAAAGGACCTATCACCGTCAGCCTGAACCAAATTTCACGCCGTCCGAGAAAGCCACTCAACAGGCCATGTCACTAAAAGCAGCACGCGGAGACCCGATGACCGAGCGACCAAGTAAACACATTTAGGTTTAGCGCTTGCAGCGTCAATGCAGCGCGAGGGCTTTAGCCATGGCTTCCTACTCAGCAACCAGGACAGTCCTGGATCACTCTTGAAGCTTGTACACTTGTTGCAAGTAACCACAAGTCACCACGTCGCCAGAAACCATCATCTGCTAGATATGCATCCCTGGCAGCCCTTCGAGTCCACGAACTCAAATCCAGGAACCTCAAATGCTTGAGACCGCAGGTGGCTCGGGATATAAGAGGCAATCAAGTATTGTTGCGCGTACAGTGAATCGGGGATGTGGAGATGTGCAGCAGAAGCAGCGGCAGCAAAGGGAAAGCTGTGAGAGGTGGAGGAGGGGGAGCAGGAGCAGGTGGAGGAGGGGGAGCAGCAGGAAGAGTTATTTGCGTCCTCACCATCATCAGCAACATCATCACAATCATCAGCACCATATAACTTATCGTCTTGATCTTCGTCATCATCACCTTCATCCTCATCCTCTTACCTTCCGTCGCAAAGGCCTGCTGCTGATGCCATGCCAGGACGCCGTGTAGCGGCGAGGGAAGCAGTTGCTACATGGGCTTTGGGCTCAAGGTCGACTCAAGGTCTCAACGTCGGTGCCCACGGTTCAGAAGTTGGCTGTCGGGCTGAATGGGATGGTGGTCGAGGATGCCAGGATCTCTCGGTAGGGGAGAGATTTTAAGCTTGGGTGTCATCTGCCAATCTCCATCATTCCCTAGGACATCCGAGCAAAGGGATGCAGGCCAGAGAAGGATGCGAAGCAAGAATCATCTTTAGGGCTTCGTCGAACATAGATGTGCAAAATTCGAAGATCGGGAAGACCCCAGCTTCAGGTCTGGATTGTCCTTCTTGGGGCCTGGAGACCCGATAAATGATGCAACATAACTAAAAATGAGAACAGAGAGAGAGAGAGAGAGAGATATATATATATATATGTATATGTGTGCATATATACACGCAGAGGTATATTTTACTTGTATTATATAGCCTTGCATGTAGAGGTGCATTGGTATCCTCGACTGCTGTGCGCGTACATGTTGGCAATGCTTGAACACATAGCAGGTGATGCATGATTGTCACAAGCACTGCATCCATGCCAGTGGTAGGGCACAGCCAACTTAAAATCATGCATAGAAGAACGTCATAGCATACATCTGGGCATGCTTGCGATCGTTCCGCAACCAGATCTTAGTCCGCAGTGAGGAACCTGTGTAAGTCCTTTGTGCGTGGCATGTATGATCATAGGAATGTAACATCATCTGCGGGAAAAGCTGGTACTCACTGACAATCGCAGCTGACATGAGATCACAATAGCTGCTGTAGCTCTCGGCAACTGCCAAGATCATACCATGTGATGTTTCTTTGGTGGGATTCTGGCTTGGACACATGCTGCTCTATCCGGGAAGATTTGCAACCTTTCATAAGAACAAACAAACTCGCGGTCACAGCCCACGTAATGACTCACGTGTGATGGACTCTCCGGATGAAGCTACTCGCCGAAGTTCCACACAGCTTAGTGTTCAATCCGATAAGATGACAGAGAATTACGCTGAACCACGCAATACATTGCCTGTAGACATCGGAAATTTCATGTGTCCTACACCCGGTGTGTTCAGTTGTAAGCTCCAGCAGGCCTGAATGCTGCAGCCTGCACCCAGAGCTCCGAATCTCACTCAAACGTCAATCCCAGTCCATGTAGCACCAGGTTGGCCTCTTCGGCCCAGTCCATGTTGTAGGCCTCCAATGTGCGCAGTCACACGTCGAGCAATTCTTGTTGGTGCCTGACTGTCGTCGCAATAGTCGTAATTTCGAGTTCCACCTCTCATCGCAAGTGGCAAGGCAGGGTTCCATTATCACTAATACTGGTAGGTTTTGTGAAAGCTCAGGGGGAGTCACGACCAGCAGTCCTGCGGTGATCCTGCAAGTTCAGACCGAGGCTTCAGGTTCTAGCCGAGGACAAGGAGCGCATGCGCATATGTGACAACAAAAACATCAAAATAAGCGGTAGCAGTAGCAGCAGTAGTAG